TTCCTGGGAAGGGAATGTTGGGAATGTTTATCACAGTCTGCCATATTGTTACGCAGTCGTCCTTCCCTATGTCTTATCACAGTCTCTTTCTTGCCCTGTAAGATCCTTCTGCTATATTCCAGGCTAACGTATTTTACTCGCCCCCTGCCACCCCATCTGTGCTACTCGAGGCGTTATTCGCCCTTGCCTGCTGCTTGCTTCGATTAGATTCAATGTCGAATCACAATGTTTGTGGGTTGACATACAAGAGACTAAGGCATAGCAAGTCATAGACTTGGTATTACGGATAGAAACAGGATAGACGCGACTGGATCTAGTTGGCTAACAGTAGGTTTGTTTTTACCATAGACGTGGTCCATGTAGCAAAGGCCTGACGATGAGACTTACTCAGATACTTTAGCCTCGAATAGTCACTTAGACGAAAGTGAGGGCGAATAACGCCTCGAGTAGCACAGATGAGATGGCAGTGGTCGAGTGAAATACGTGAACCAGGGATATAGGAGACGGATCTTACGAGGCAAGAGAGAGACTGTGTTAAGACCTAGAGAAGGAGGACTGTGTAAAAATATGACAGACTCTGATCAACATTCCCAAATCTTTTTATAAGCTAATCTTTCTTTTTTGATGCACTGCCTTGATATAAGCTTCATTAAAATAGGTTGTTTTTTTCGTATTTGAGTAAGTTTGTTTTTATTTGATTTATTTTGCTTTCACGGTAATTTTACCTTGTCTTTTTTTCTAGGGTCAAACGAGACAAATTTTTGAACCAATGGCTTCCTATGTTTCCTATCGTTTTCCCGAGATGGTTCCTCAACACATTCCCAAATCCTAGTGCTTGGTAAGTCTGAGCCAAATACACTTATTGCCCAGCATATTCTGCTGACGATTTTTTACCTTTAATAATTTATGATATTTGCCTTATCGTGTCATGCTTATGAGTCCACCGACATTGCTTAAATTCAGGCAATACTTTACTCAGACAGAAGGCTACTCATGTGTTTCTATGCTTTATGAATGACTAGAAATTAACTTTTCCTTTTACGTTTTGATTTTGAGGAAAAACCCGATCTCTACCTCATGTATTCATTCTGACCTTGCTCATAACAAATTATAATTACAATTTTTATCTCTTCAATATTACGTTTAATGATTGCTGCAAAGCCTTGTTAAACCTTTAGGGGAATGCGTATGGAACCTGATTAATTTGTTGACAGGTCGTCTTGGTGAACCTGAGACTCTCTTGCTTTGGTTGAGATGAACATAAACTTCGCAAACCAAAGATAAGACATGATTTTCATGAATGCCTTAATTGTACCAACTAATCAACTTTTTTGCATTATGTTTACCTTCTCTTTAGAGCTCAATTAGCATGGACTCTTTTATCTGCTTGTAACTCAAGCACCACTTTTTTCTATTATCTTTTCTATTTACTATTCATAGGTATTCTGCTCGGGAGTGCTATGCGCGTACCTGCGCAGTTATGAGCATGGTGGGCTATGTGCTAGGGCTTGGGGATCGACACACAGAAAACTTGCTGTTTGATGCCCAGCGTGGTGGCTTAGTTCACGTGGACTTCGCTTGTGTTTTTAATACCGGACTCACTCTACCCTGGCCTGAATTGGTGCCATTCCGCCTGACCCGCGGTATGCAGGCCGCTCTTGGCCCGGCTCTCCATGAGGGAGTTTTTCGCCGTTGCTGTAAGGCTGTGATGAAGTTGCTTCGGAGAGAGGTTTGCTTATTTTTCACCAGAACTCTATTTCCATTCTAGCTATATCTACTTGCTTATATTTGTTCAGCTCACTTCCATTTCGAGTGAAAGTGTGATAAATAGATTCAAAGGTCGATCTCACTAGATGAATGCAGAAGATTCATCTTGTCCATCTATCGGTTTAATTTGCTGGAACATTCTGGCTGACTTTCGTGAAACAATCTCCTTTAATTGCGATGAAAACCTGCTCGTCCCTCATAGGCTTGACGACATTTGAAAAGAGTATCATTCTTACAACTAACTCAAACTTGGGAGTCTAAAAAGTTTATCAGTTTTTGTATACTTTGAACAGTGATTTGGTTAATTGAATATATGAAGACCAAGATGCTGTGGCCTCTGGTATGGTCGCAGTCTCCTTTCGATTTATAGAACTGGATTGACCTCGTTGTCGCAACATGGTCTTGTCGTCAGGGCGATTATGTAGAACGCACCTAGTCCGAAGTCGTCTGCCATAGTAGTTGTCATGCTGGAAATCATGTCATGTTAGAACCACCTGTCTTAACTTCTCGGTCTGGGGTGATTACGTTTTAACTACCCAAGGAAAGGCATGACTGGGGCTGCATAATCTGATACGTCTGATCTGCTTGATGAGCTTATTCTAACATGTTGGACGAGTGTGAGTGCAGTTAGAACCATCAGTGAAGGGGCAAGCTGAATCGCCTTCTTTTAAATGGTAACTCACCACCCCCTCTCTCCTTCCATTTATCAACCAAGTAGAAGTAGTTCTTACTTAACTTTCTATGACCGTTACTCCCATTCAACATATTCCCTAATCTATAAATTTTAATAGCCTCTTCTCATCCTTTTAATAGCAGCCGTACCATAATCTGCAAACCTATTCGTGTTTAGACCATTCTATCTTATTTCCAGTTCTGCAACCTAATGTGGAAATGCCTTACAGACACAGTTAATGAAATACTATATTACGCATTCATTCGTGAATTAGATGAAAGTTATGACCTTGAGAGGCATTTAGGAAGGATCTAGGTGTAGTTTTCACTTTGGAGGTTTTTCAAAGAGACCAGAGTATGTCTGACCATGAGTCACAGAGGGTCCTGGATTTCTTAGATAAGAGGCATGATAAGAAATTACTTAGATATGGGATAATAATACAGCGTAGTATCAACCCAATCCGGACAAATTTTGATAGTTCTGTATTGAAGGCATCAGCTGATGTAAACCACGATAAGG